TTGATTCATCGGTCCCGCAGCCACCATACATATTCTAATAGCGCCTTTAGGAAAGTAAATAAACTTGCACAGAGTGAGATCAGGTCTTTGCTCTCAGACAGCCGTGGAAAAGGGCCATTATTCTTAGCGAGAATATCTTAGCTGTCAACTGAAAAAGCACTTTCCACAGAGAGAAATAAAAGATTAATACTAAGAGACCCCAAACTTCAATCTTCAATATTTTGCAGTCGTTTGAAAAGCTCACTGCATTGAGGGGAGAAGTTCATTTGCAACACGCTGGGTACTGAGGCATGGTCCATCGTGCATGCATTCATTTGACATGGAACTACATGGATATGCACATTTTAGCAGCAGACTGTGAGTGATACGTTTGCTGTCAATCATCTTTCACATTTCAAGATTCATGGTTGTCCATTTGAAACAGTGAAACACTGCAAGTAGACAAGACAAAGAATATGATAATTACACAGCATTATGAATAACTGTTTACTGTCTTACCATGGTCATGAAATATTGGACATTTGTGCATGATTGCCTTTTTTTATAAACTTTAAAGTCGGGGTGAAAATAAATGAGGGGAGGAAGATTTGACCTCGGGATATTGTGATTATATGGTCAGAAACGTTCTACTTTATAGATCCATGGTTTCCTAGTTCAATTTGTATTTTGTAGCGTGCATGTCTAGGTGCTCAGTCAGACATATCTTGATCTCTCTGAAGTCTTATCATTTACAGCAAGGCTATGACAACAATTTAAACTTCATTGATGCAAAAGAGCATTCATTGATATCATCCTGATACTAGGATCATCATAAATGCAAGAGCTATCCATGGTACCTCAATAACTCTGTTGAGAAGGATTCTCAGAAGAACATGAAAACCCCAATAATGTCCCTTCCATTGTTTGAAAGGATGTGGATTCAGAATGAGTTTGCTGTGTCTTGGATTCATTTGTTAGGGTGCATTCACACCTACTAGTCCGCTTCTCTGGTGCGCACCAGACCACAGTTTGTTACATTGTTTCATTTTTCAGAAGGTTCGGTTTGCGTTCACACGGGCAAAACTCAATCGGACTATAAACTTTAAACACAAGTCATGTGCACGGAAATGCTGTTCAACCATTGAACCGTCTTAATTGTCAACAAAACACATTTAAATTCTACCGCTACCTTGACATGCACCCTTTCATACACACGAATACACAGATAGAAGACAGTATGAATGTACGGATTTTGGGTTAAGTGGATATAACATTCGACAAATGATTGAACTCAGACACCATTTATAGTTTGTCTGAGTTGTTTCAGTACGCTCTACCAAGCTTTCTGTATTTGTACCATCGTGTCTAACATTTCAAGTAGGTCTCACTATTCATTTGGATGTTGCATACCTCATTTTGAAAAGAAGTCGCTTTCTGGAGTTTGGTTTTGAAAGCAGGAGGGAGTAATAAAACATTGCATACTTTTAGCCTTGACAGAGGCCATTAGTTTCAAGTCGCTTAATGTGAAAGTCTGGTGGCAAAGTAGCTGTCAGCAACGTGTCAACAATGTGATGGATTAGTGCTACAGGTAGAGACGTCTCTCTGCAAAATGCAGCTTTAAATGGCACATGTTTTCAGTGAGGAAGTTGAACTGTGTCTACTCCAGTGGCGGTTCTAGAACATTTTACATGGGGGGGCAAAGGGGAGGCAAGAGGTAATGCCAGGGTGGCATAGGAGGGCGGACAGTACGTGGTATTTTATACTGTATATAACCTATTTATTGTTAATTCATGCCCTAACACAAGTGTTCTTAATGCACAAGAGAAACAAGGTGTTCAGACAAACAATCGGGTGCCCTTTGAGTCCCCCAAGCTTACTATACCTCAACCATTTTAAATGAAAGGAAACTACAAAATGTATTTTAAAGCAATGAATTAATGGAACAGGTTGTTTTGCATTACAATGTAAAATTAAATATATATTTTGTTTTAGACAGACACAAAAATTGGTTGTCTTAGACAGACATATTTGCATGTCCTCACTAAGCATTATTACATATTAATTTAATATCAAACAAATCAAAATGGCCAATTATCCCAAAATGTTGCTGCTAATATAATCATATGCTTGTCAACTTTAACTGATCAAAAATCAATTCTGAAAAAATACTTAAATTATCTATGAAATTGCAATATTGTCCCTCAGTTTGTTTCAACCCCGTCACGCCATACCATTTACCCTCCTATTAAAATAATGGATCAGTCCATGTGTGATCTGCATTGAGGGAATTACATCACAAAAGTGTCAGTTTCTTCTCTTACCTATATTTCAGTTTTTGTATTTTCAGATTAAGATTGACAAGCTCAACATTTCAACTATGTTGTATGAATTAATAATAGTAAATAATTGTTTATTACAAAAATAAACAATAGTTTTGCAAAATATTACAATTTTGTAATGTCCTTGACATGTGGTGCCATATCTTAGCTAAACAAGGTCTCATGCCTACTTTTTGTCAAAAACGTCAACCCTGTTACATTTTTTCAAGGAAATTCCTAGTAATTATTTATATTTTGAGCCTGAGGTGGGAAAATGTAAGTAGTCCAATACCAGATGTTATGACCAAACATTTTGGTTTCATTTTTCAAAGATATAAAGACCCAAAAGGCACCTGATTCAGAGAATACTCAGAATTCTGCATACACAAATGACATCACCCATCTCTTCAGAGAGCTGAAGGTGACATGTGCAGCAACACATTTCAATCAATATTTGTCAATACTAAGAGCTGCTAGATTGTGCTGCTGTAATGGAATATGTAAGGAGAATAAGAACATACCATGTGGTCCAGCTGGAGTTTCATCTGCCTCCTGATCCCTGCCTCTGTCCCACTTTATGATACTTCAACTTTATTCCTCACATATATTTCTTCTTCTTCACTAATGTCTTCATCTCCTCCTCTTCCTCCTGCTCTGACCCTCCTGGTCTCTTCAGTGAACTCTCTTTCCTTTTCCTCTTTCTGTTCGTCCTGATCACTTCTCATATGTCTTTTTGTTGTTGTTGAATCACTCCTATACTCTGGCCTGCAAGAGTCTACTTGTGAAAAGCACTGGTACAAATGCTTGTATAACTTTACACGTTAGGGCCATGTAGCCTAGCTAATATGTAGCATATCATAAATATAACATCAGAAAGTATTGATCAAGCGCACACAGGCAGCTGTGTTTGGATCCAGTTTTTACGGTAAAGGATGTATCCTGGTTTCATTGATCTGGCCTCATGGCTGTGATGTGTAGTTTACGTGGATTTAATAGTAGGCTACCGCGTAGTTTAGCAAAGTGATCGATCTCCCAGCTAGCGCTGTCTGCGTAGTATTTTGTAACGTAACGCCCCAAACAGCGCCCGTCTGTTAAACGCTATCGATTCAAACTAAAGCGTTTTATTAATATTTAGTTTCAAGCTCTCGTCCTTAGTAAAAACAAAACTAGTGGAAAGGGAAATGCTCCAAGGGGAAGCTGATCCATAGGTGCTGGGACAGCTCGCTCCTTCTCTGCAGCGGTGTGAGCCGCGGGCTGTGTGAACGCCGCTCCGCAGTTTAATGCAGGGCCGTAGCTGCGTTTTTAACGGGCCTAAAATGATATTTAAAATGATTCACTTATAATGTAATGCTTGTTTTGTTGCTTGAGAAGCTTGTGGAAATAGTGGAGGTTTGTTTTAGTACAGTTTTAGGGAAACAAAAGTTAGGGGGGCAGCTGGGGGGGGCAAGGCTCTACAGTGGGGGGGGTAGCTGCCCCCCCGTAGATCCGCCCCTGGTCTACTCTAATATTACATTTACATCACATTGTATCCATTTAGTGACTAATACACAGTGTGTAGCTGTGAGGATAGAATACACTGGGATTTCTGGATCATACTGACTCCTTCACAGTAACAGTTACAACATATTCCAAGCATCTATGGAAGTATCACAACAACATTTTTTTTTTAACTCTCTAACTGGTGTAAAAGTGGATATTGATACAGCCATCATAAGCTGGACTGCGATTGCTATTGAGTCTGAGAAGTAAAAATAAACTAAAAAAAAACCAATCAGCTTGGAAATATTGGACTTTATGGGTAAATCAATTGAGGTCTGCAAAAATCCTGATGCATAAACTCCACATAATGAAATGATGCATTTCAAATTGTGTTTGTTATTTCTTTTAAATTACATTCTACATCCCAGGGGCGGCTACTCACTTTGTTTATTATCTGAGTATCGGATGCTTAGGCACAACTGATTGGACTCTGATTGAGTTTTTAAGGAAGATGGGTCCAGTTATTTATTCTGATATAACAGCACTAAGCTCGGACGGGGGAAGAGTTACAGTTAAACAAGACACTGTGTTTGTTTTCTGTTTGGTTGGTCTGCATGAATCAGCGGGAACACTTTTTTCAATAGAATTCAATTATCAGATTTTTTTATTATAAAACAAAGAATAATCTGAATAGACACTTTTCATATCTGTTTATTTTTATTTTCTACAGGCAAGAGATACAAATAAAGGATATGACAGTATCATGAGATGACACACAGAGAAAATACATATAAAAAGTAAATAATAATAATTAATAACAATGATAATATCTATTTTTTTAAAAGGGGAAAAGATAAGGACCCCTTAAACAATTTCAAATCACTAGGTTAATTGTCACACCTAAGAACCAAAAACAAACATATGACATGCACAGCATATTTTGTATTCCATATAATGCCACTCTTTTTAGAGGTCATTTTCTACCATGTCATCTTGTGTTTTGCCAATTTGTGATTGTTTGTGTCAATGTTTTTTGGCAAACATTTGAATTCAGATTACTCCCGGTGAGCTTTTAAATATAGTATTACCAAACAGAAAATGTCATTTATTATCTGTGGACCACTTCCATCCAAACCTCCAGACAAAGTGTTAAAAAGTGGGAATTTATCAAATCAAACCGACTCAATCAACACTTAACTTACCACCTCTGTTCCTCTATCACAGCTCCTCCCACCCCCATCGCTCCACCTGAGCTCCTCGCTGTCGGGGCCACTTACCTTTGGATAAAACCCAACGCCAACAGCATCATCGGCGACGGGCCCATCATCCTGAAGGAAGTGGAGTACCGAACCACCTCAGGAAACTGGGCGGAGACCCACGTGGTAGACTCCCCTACCTACAAACTGTGGCATCTGGACCCCGACGTGGAGTACGAGATCAAAGTCCTGCTGTCCAGACCTGGGGAGGGAGGAACGGGCCCCCCGGGGCCGCCGCTGGTCACAAGGACCAAATGTGCAGGTAGGTCACTCCTCTCCTGATATTTTCCCCTTCAAGCTTCACTTCTCTTCTTTTTTGTCATAATTATGTTGTTGAGGATAGCTGTATTATGGGCCAGAATGATGGGCCATTTTTTACACTCATATAATGAACTGAATACCCTCTTAACTCCTCAAATACAATGTTGTCAGTGGGTGGTTGTAGTAAACGGAGACTAAGCTCAAAGTTTAGAATGGTTCAAGTATGGTTGAGCTTTGGTCTGAGTGATTTGATTTAGAGAAAAAGTAGAGTTGTCTTGATGCAGAGTTTCTTTATCTTTGATACATTTTCTCCTTGTGAAGTCTTGTGTATGCCAATGTCTACTCAGGGTTTCCCACACAGTGGCCATCAGGAGGACCGGGGGGTTTCCCGATGGCCTGGCCTGTTACATTAATGTATTGTGAACGCAACGCTGCGCAAATGTGGGTCTGCCTCACAGAGGGTGACTGGCTGTCCACATGATGTGGCCTGCCGACATGGCCACTGTCATACAGATCATTAATCAAAGCCCTTGATTGGTATCTGTGTGTCATTCAAGCTCGGGATAACCTCAGCTGAGGTAAAGGACTCTCTGAGTGTTTAGATAGTTAACTTAGTCTAAGTTCTCTGTGGGTCTCAAACGGTTTGGTCACCATTTATGTAAACACATATTTCCATTTGAGGGGGTAGTGATTAGTAAAATATGCATGAATAAAAAATAAAAAAGTTTATACTAGGGGAAAAAAGGTAAGATAAAACTATTACAACTTGTTTGAGAGTTAAAACTAGTCTTTGGCTGGCTGGGGCCTCAAAGAGGACAGGGGGGAGAGGGAGGAGAGGAGGGAGAGGCTAGAGAGGAGGGATAGGGAGGAAGAGAGAGAGGGGAGGGGGGAGAGGGGGAGAGGGGGCAGGGGAGGGGGGGTGAGAGGGAGAGGCTGGAGAGGGGGACCTTTTCAGAGGGGGAGAGGGGGAGAAAGGGGGATTGGGTTTTTTTTTTCCTTTTTTCTCCTTTTTTTGGGAGAGAGACAGGATGGCTGATTCAGGAGCCCAGACACACTCACAACTGTAAATGAACCAAAAATAAACAAGTTTAAATGTTTTTTTATATTGGAAATGGGATGTTATTGGTTATGGCCATGTTCTTATGATTTTATGATTATTGAAATGTATACAGTTCTGTTTCATATAGGTGTTTCCATAGATCTAGTCTCTTTATTTTCCCCTCAATGTGCACCAGATTGATGCATTTAACTCCAAAATAAATAAACAAATCTTACCAGGGGAGCATGCCCCCGGACCCCCTTAGAAGATTTTTAGGCCCACCCCCACTTAAAATCACATGGCTAGGTTCCTAAATACATTTACCATTTGTTTTAAATAGTAACCCATGTCCATATGTCTATTTGTGGGTAGTAGATTTAAACTATAGGGCTATCACGATGGGCCCTGCCTGTACCTGTTCGCTCTGCCATCGCGTGAAGGGTCTGCTAACAAGCGACCAACCGAAAGGTTAATGTTAATGTTGTTGCACTTCACAAAGGCAAGCCACGTCGCCTCACCACACAACAGAAAATGACACCAGTAATGACAAACAGATGACAATGCTGCGTGGGGTCTGGGTGCCGTGTTGGCGGGACGTTGCGCGGCTCGCTGCTGCGAGGAGCGGACAGTGTGAGCTGGGTTCATTTCCTGCTTGCTGCGTGGGGTCTGCGAGACAGCGAGACATCGCGAATGGGGGCTGAGGGGGCTGCAGCACCTCCATCTGCGAGGCTCCATTAGCACCCGCCCCCCCCAAACGCGGCGCACCTACAGTGTAAGCGTGCCGCAGAGAGAGTGTGTGTGTGTGAGGAACTCCACGGATTGGTCCACTTGGATCAATGGGTCCATTTGGGTATGGGCACGTCACTGTACCCAGGAAGAAAAGAGAAATGTCCAACGAGGTGTTCTGGGGCAGCATAGACAGGTCTTTTCTGTGTTAGAGTTTTACTCGCTACAGGGTGTACTTTGAGGGTTTGAGACTGCAGACCGTTTACATGCAGAAAAAGCTACATAACACACAATGGGACGGGTAATAACCGGAAAAGCATGACATGGGCCCTTTTAAGTCTTCAATTTTAAAACCAATTCTAAAATGTGTTAATTTTGATGTGTGACTTTTATTTATAGGTAATCATTATCTTGCTAACCCTAACCGACAGAGAAGCTAAAAGGCAGATGAGACGTAGAAGACAAGAAAAAAAATGATCAAACTATTATTTCTTCGGGAAAACAATAGAACAAATCAAATATGATGATGATTGGGATGTTAAGAAGTCACTCTGGAGTTGAAGGATATGTAGAGAGCAGGGTTTAAAGAGGAGGCGGAAAAGATGGGGGAGGTTAGGAGGGGGCAATCATGGCCGATGGGGGTGTAAGGAGACGACGAGTGGTTCATCTGATAATCAGATCTCTGATGAAGGTGTGTGTGTGGAAAGCGTGCGTGTGGAAGGTGACAGAGATAGTGGTAACTGTGTGTGTTTGGACTTGTTAACACAGCAGGAGGCCACCATCAACCCTCTGTAGCCGTATTACCACTTCACTCTGTATCCCTTTATTATTTTGGATTTTCTTGTTTCTTTTACGAATTCCCCCTTTATGTATATTTCTCCTTTTCTCCACTCCTTCTGCTTTGCTCCTACTGTAGCTCACTTCCACTTTGTCTTATTCCCCTCTTTACTATCATGTACGACGGTGTACGACCATTCATCTTTTGTTTTCTCATTCTATTTTTTCCTTTTATATTCCACCTTTGGAAACGAATGATCCTCTTTGTTACATTCAGCTTTTCTCTCCCCCTTCCACCAACAGTTCTCTCTTGTCTTTATTCCCATCTTCTGCATTTTATTTGACCTTTTTCTTTCTGTCACCTTTTATTCATTCAAAGAAACTATACAAAAAGCTTTTGTCAGCAATGTCTTTGCAAAGAAAGGTAGTGATGCAGGGATTATGACAAAGGGAGGAAGACATTTGATGTAATACATAATCAAATGAAGAGCAAAACTATTTTGATTAACAATAGATATTTGTGGAGAATGTATGAAGAAGGAATACAAAAATAAATCTGGGAAAAAAAGAAAAATATGCAGGAGGAAGATGAGAAATGGTTAATGTGAAGTGAAGTGGGACGGAGATGGTGGTCACTGTGTGTGTGTGTGTGTGTGTGTGTGTGTGTGTGTGTGTGTGTGTGTGTGTGTGTGTGTGTGTGTGTGTGTGTGTGTGCATGCGTGCAGTCATGGCTCCATAAAGGTTGTATGTGTGTGGCGTAAAGCGTAGTAGCAAGGAACATGTGTTTCTGGGCTATTGGCACTGGGTGTGAGCTGTCACAACCACTCACACCCAGTGCTGTGTATGTGTGTGTGAGTGTGTGTATGTATGTGTGTGTGTGTGTGTGTGTGTGTGTGTGTGTGTGTGTGTGTGTGTGTGTGTGTGTGTGTGTGAGTGATGGGATTGGAGCAGGCAGGTATGACAGATGTTCAAATGCCTGCTGGCTACTAGTGTTAGGGTGTTGTGTGTGTGTGTGTGTGTGTGTGTGTGTGTGTGTGTGTGTGTGTGTGTGTGTGTGTGTTTGTTTGTCCCGACACCTTCACCTCTCTGTTCATGTTAGCCTCTACAGCCGAGCTCACGCCTATCAATCAAATAGTTGTTACTTGTAGCATTTGAAATTAATTTTGAAGTCAGATTCAGTGTGATATCTCAGTGTTATTATTGTTAATAATTGTTCAGACTATTTCACTATTTATTTCAGGCCAATCTATCACTAGTACAATCATTTATTTGAATTAAAGGACCATCATGATTTTTCAATTATTATTTTTACATTCAAATACATGCTGACACACAATATTTTATATATATATATATATATATTTCAGCGACGTGCAGTCAGGGGAGGCAGGGGAGGCAGAGCCTCACCTGTCATACTCATAGACTGGCCATACTACAATGTAACGGAAAAACAACTAAAGAAAAACTAAATAGTAATAATAATAAAATGTCTCCACTGATCTGTTTTGTAAATGTGATTTATGTATGATTCCAATCGCTTTTTATAGTCAAAATCAGCTAATTTGCTGAGCTCCGCTACAACTACGGGTAGCGATGAGAAGTGAGGCAGGGACGAGCTCTGCCTCTCGTAAGCCCACAGTAACTGGCTGGAGCGCGGGCACTAATTTAACGCGGGCACTTATTTTGTGAGCGCGCTCAAGCCAGTTACTGTGTGGGGAGGTGAGGCACAGATGAGCTCTGCCTCACCTCAGAATGCGTCACCCCACATAAACTGTCTGGAAAGCGGGCCCTAAGCGCATGCCTGCACCATCTCACTGTATGTCACCAATGTAATGTTTGTAGATCCCTTTATTACATTTATTCTCGCCATCCATAGTCTCTAAATAACTTATATATGATATGATATTTAGGCTCGCTGGTCTCATCATACAAAGGCAATGAAAAAAGCACCAGGGGAGGCAGCCATAACCTCTGCCGCACTGAAGGGGGCGCACGTGAGCCCACAGGTCCTTGTTGCTACTGTTATTCCACGCAGAGACGGTATAGACGCAACAACAAACTAGACTTTTGAAACTAGAGGAAGATAAGGAGGACTTTTACAAAAATGTAATGGAGATTGTTGTCCAGAAGGATAGCATGGACTTCATCTTCAAGTCAAGGTAAGACCACAATTTTAATGAAAATGGGATCTTACTAAGAAAGAACAATCCAATATTTAGATTGTGGGTATCCTTTTGTTGAACAGTCTGTTTAAAATGAATTGAAGCATCAGACTAAAAAAGCTTTTGAAAATAACCGAATATTTCGATTAAGGTCAAAATATAATATTTGTAAATCTGACTGAAAGAGTCAGTGCCTCATCACCAGCCATGAACCTCACCGCACGTCACTGATATATATATATATTTTTATTTATTTATATATTTTTCTGATAAAACTAGCAGTTGAAAAATGTGTTA